CTAACTCTTTTTCTTCTTGTTCCCACAGATGGCCGCCTTCTTGTCGCAACCTCTAAACACAATCGTCGAGCCTCTGCCTCCTGCATCGAGACAGCAACCCGACCGAGCCCAGTCTCTCACGACCGCCTCAGCCCGAAGTGCAGCCTCAGCATCAGCGTCAGCCGCAGCCCCAGCAGAGCGTCGCCTCGACGGCCTCAGATCTCCACCACCAGTCTCACTCTCCTCCTCATCCTCACCCTCTCACCACCACCACCACTCGCACTCGCACTCGCAGTCGCACTCGCAGTCGCACTCGCAGTCTCGCCGCCACGCCAGCTCCGTCTCGATAGCCTCATCAGTGCCCGCCTCAGTGCCTGCGACTCGCCACACGCGCACGAGCAGCATCCTCTCACGTGCGGCGGCCGCCTTGGATAGAACCCACAGCGCCATCGCCAGCATCTCGGAGCCCGTGATCCGCAGCCGCCAGTCCAGCTCGACGCTCGCCCGCCTCTCGCTCACCCCGTCCTCGCACCAAACGAGGGACGAGCCCGCCAGCCCTGACCGGCCCACCGCCCTCAACTACCCGTCGAGCCAGTCTCTGTCGTCCACCCAGGGAGACAGCAAGCAGTCGTCGTCGGCCTCGTCCGCCCTGCACTCTCCCATTTCTGAAACCTCACCCCCAAGCAAGATGCATCAGACATCATCGCGCTTGTTGCGCATGACCGACGATGACCGGCCTTTTACTAGAGTACGTTGAAAAAGAAATCTAGAGCGTGCTCGTCTCACGTTTCCTCTCCCCTCTGCTACTCTCACAAGTGCATGCCATCAAGGTTTTATGAGAATTTTCAACGAAATTTCTCATTTCACCTTCTTTCCACCCTCCTCTTCCTCATGCTTATTCATGCAAAAACGTCGACTCACCTGAAAAATTAGGACTTCAAGGATCTCTTCTCCACACTGATTGTCAGCCTTCTGCCTCTTGGCTCTCACAGAGTGCGGCTGACCAAGGTGGACTACACTTTCCTGTCCGAGGATGCTATCAACAACCTGGGCTCGCTCAAGTTCTCTCAGTCCAACCGCATGCCTGACCCCAAGGATCCTTCACGGATCGTCACCACCACTACCACAACCACCTTCTCCATGGCCAAGGACATGGCTCGCTCCATCTGCCAGAGATTCGTCGAGGCCCGCTTCATCGAGTCTGCGGATGGAAAGATGCAGCCCGTCTACAACATGAAGGGCTCCGTCTGGCAGCTGACGGCCAAGGGCGTTGCAATTCTGGATCGATTTTGCGCTAGAAACGGCATCCAGCAGAAGCAAGTCGCCGAGCTCGTCAACCTCCACTGCTGTTCCCTTGTCATCCTGGAGCGGGAGCAGCACAGCGACAAGATCCTCAGCGATCGGGGCACCGTCGAGGTCATCTTCCGCCGCTTCGTCGGCACCGAGAGCCGCAACGTCAAGCCCAACGTGGCTGCGGCCGACTCGGACTCGTTGCACGACTACGAGGATGGTCTCACCGGCGTCAAGATGGCCAGCGAGCGTCGGGTGAATGGCAAGGTGTACAAGGATACCTTTACCGGCAAGGCCTGCGCCGATTGGCTGGTGGACTGCTGCACCATTGTGGATAAGCGAGAGGCCATTGAGATTGCGTCCCTCTTCGTCGAGTTTGAGTTGATAGAGACGGTGGTCCAGGACAGATCCTTTATGCTCCAGAACCCGGGCTGCCATCTGTTCCAGCCGACCAAGTACTCTGTCTACCAGATCTCGCAGCGAGGAAAGGACGTCATCAACGGCACCAGCTCGCGCGGCCGCCCCTCGGAGAGCGAGGCCGGCACCGGCTCCCAGCGCAACGGCGTCGTCCGCGACTCCAACACGCAGCGTCTCGAGAAGATCCTCAACGACCCGGCCCTCCGCCTCCTGTTCCGCGAGAACCTGCGCGAGACGCACTGTGAGGAGAACCTCTCCTTCTACAAGGACGTCAACGACTTTGTGCAGAGCTGTAAGACGGCCATCCGCCAAGCCGAGACCGCCCCCTCCAACAACTCGATGGACATTATCAAGGAGATCATGGCCCAGGCCTACGGCATCTACAACGCCTTCTTGGCTCCCGGCTCGCCGTGCGAGCTCAACATTGACCACCAGCTGCGCAACAACCTGGCGACGCGCATGACCAAGGCTGTCGGCCAAGAGAACGGCATGATTGAGACGTTGCAGGAAGTTACTTCCCTGTTTGAGACTGCGCAAAACGCCGTCTTCAAGCTGATGGCTAGTGTAAGTTGTTCTTGTTCTTCTTCTTCTCTATCCTTTTCCCACTTGCTGACTGTCAATCCAGGACTCTGTGCCCAAGTTCCTGCGCAACGCCAAATACGAGCAGCAGCTGCAAAACTTCAACCTCGACGGTTCTTCACGAGGCGTCGAGCGGAGCCTCAGCCGCTCCAACCGAAAGTAATGGCCCCTTGGGGCGCATGCTTCACGACGGATGACAGGCGCGTTATAACGCAGCCTCTCACGAATGCGACGACTCACCGGCACATGACTCGATCTTTTCCCGCATATTTTACCATCTGTTTTTTCCCGCACCCTATCAGTTGAAGGGGTTTGGCCATATTTGCTTTGTCAAAGGACGGCACGACTTGATACCTACTAGATTTCTGCTCTCATCTCTGCATCGAACCGGTGTTCATAGTGTCATTTGCCACTTTTTTTTTTCCCTCCCCTTTTTCTTTTTCTACTACTTTCCCCCATCTTGCCCGATTTACTCTCCCATTTGGTCCGTTTTCGTTCCCATGTTCACGGCTGCATTTGCACGCGCGACAGACTGGAACTTTTGCATTGGTTTGCAGCATTGATTTCACCGCCAGGATGGATTCTAATGGTTGCTTGGACCGGTTGAGATTTCCCTTTGACTTTGATCTGTGATTTGGACAAAAGAGAAAAACAAAAGAAACAAGAGTGGAAGGCGTTTACGGAAATCTGGTATAGAAGAGAGGTCACATGGCAACGAATACGGTACAACATGGCGGCTTCATTTTATGTGTACTCATCTATTTCCTATTTTGCAGTCGGCTTTTGCATTTTCGACGTTGGGGTGGAGGAACATGTCCTCAGGGGAAGGGGTCGAGATACGGCCACGACGAAGGAGGGCACAGTCTGGGCTGATTTGGACGCGCGTTGTGGGACGCGTTATGCATTACCGAGGCAGGGAGAGCAAGTCGTCGTTGCGTTGCCCTTTTTTTTTTTTTGCAACGGGCCTGCGGTGAGACACTGCGTCGGCAACGGCAAATGGGCATTGACGATGGACAATTTTGAAAGAAGAAAGCCCTGCCGGCACATGTATGTTTGAGTATCTTGTATGTATGCTACAGTCCAAGAGACTTGCAATAAATGAGAACCAAAGCAAAATAAATGCTCGCCAGCCATTTCGTGATTTGAAAGCCCCAATTCCGATAAAATCCATTCGTCAGAGGCACAAGTCATGGCATCATCGCGAATGTTTTTCTCTCTCCTCCATGTACATTCTATTTCCCCTCTTTTCCTCTTTTCTGTTATTTCTCTGATTGCCGGGGAATGCAGCGGGAAATGAGAGGCTGGTGGTAATATTTGAAGAAGCCTTTTGCGGTCGTTAAGGTGACGGCGAGGGGGCAGGAGGCAGGATTGGTATGCAATGCCCTATTTTGCTTGCGGCAGGCAGGAATGCGGCCTCTTTTTTTTTTCCCAGGCCCTGACGATCTTGTGCAGAAATGGGGAAGACGACATAGGAAAAAAGAATGTCTGAGGCGAGAAATGGGCGAATATGAACGCGGATTACAGTAGTAGTAAGTAATGTGACCCGTTATGTGTGTGTCTCTTTTTCTCTGCCCCATCTCACCCATTCTTGGGGAACCGTTTCGTTTGCAACTGCGACGTGCGAAAGAATGTCTCGCCCGCCAGACGGAGACGGATGCTTTGCTCCTCATGTGCTCTCTCGCTCGCAAATGAATACCAACGATGGTTTATTTTTGTGTGTTTTGATGTTTCTGATGCAAGTGGAAAATATGTGACGACCAACACGACGAAACAAGCTGTTTCCGTTGATTCGTGCTCGAGGCAGTTCAATTATATAAACCCCCCGTGGTGATGCCCTCAGTCGAACTTCTTTCTTTTCTCAGCATCAGCATTCAGCTTTCACTCACACTCGCTTTCTCCCCTTCAAAACATTCGTTTTCTCACATTCACTCTCTTTTCTTGTTACATACACACTCGCTCTTCACAAAACCCACAAACCACCCAAATCTCATCTCCTTAAAAGAACAAAAGAACAAAAGAAACAGTGCAAGATGCGTACCGTCCAGGCAGTCCTCGTCTCGCTCGTCGGCATGGCCGCCGCAGGCAGCATCTACCTGCCCCCGCCGCAGGACAACTACGCCGTGGATTCGTCGTCGTCCGAGGGCGCGTACCCGGCGGCGGAGCCTGCGTACTACCCCATTCAGCCTCAGAAGCACGAGGACCACAAGGAGGAGGGGAACTCGTACGGTGCTACGCCTGAGGAGGGCAAGCACTGGGGCAAGGATGAGGATGAAGAGAAGAAGAAGGAGGATGCTTACCCTACTCCTGAGGAGGACAAGCACTGGGGCGAGGAGGAGAAGGAGGATGACAAGAGTGCCAAGGAGTGGGAGCACAAGGACGATCCCAAGGACAAGGAGGGTGAGAAGAAGGAGTGGGAGCACAAGGAGGACGACAAGTCCAAGGACGATGAGAAGAAGGAGTGGGAGAACAAGGACGACAAGTCCAAGGACGAGGGTGAGAAGAAGGAGTGGGAGAACAAGGACGACAAGTCCAAGGACGAGGGTGAGAAGAAGGAGTGGGAGAACAAGGACAAGGAAGGCGATGAGAAGAAGGAGTGGGAGAACAAGGACGAGAACAAGGAGGGCGAGAAGAAGGAGTGGGAGAACAAGGATGAGGGCGAGAAGAAGGAGTGGGGCAACAAGGGCCAGTGGCAGAACGGCCACGAGTGGAAGCACAACCAGACCGCCGTCACCACCACAAAGGTCGTCTCCCAGTACACCACCTACTGCCCCGAGCCCACGACCTTTACCTTCAACGCCAAGACCTTCACCGTCACCGAGGCCACCACCCTCACCATCACCGACTGCCCCTGCACCGTCGTCGAGGTAAGCTTTCACCCCCTTTCCCCCCCTCCCCCCTAAACAACCCATCGTCAGCATCAGATAACTAACACTCAACTCAACAACAGCCCTGCGAGACCGAAGCCCCCAAGCCTGCCCACACCGAGGTCCCCAAGCCCTACCACAGCGAAGAGCCCAAGCCCTCCCACTCCGAGGAGCCCAAGCCCCACGGCGGCGAGGGCAGGCCCGCTCCCCTTCCCCCCGTCGTCATCAGCGGCGCGGCGGACAAGCTCGTCCACATTGGCGCTGCCATCTTTGGCGCCCTGCTCGTTGGCGTCGTTGCCTTGTAAGGAGCTTCATGGCTCCCTCAACATGGAAAAAGACGTGGTGAGGAGTGTGAGTTGCATAGGAAGAGGGGATTTGTGGAAATGTCGGGGAGGAGGATGGAGTTTCGGGGTAGTGACGAGAGAGATAAAATGACAGAGACGGCTGTTCTCCTTTTGTATTCGCATTGTTTTCCATTTTCTTGAGATGAGAATGGTGGTTTGTGGCTTTCCTTCTTTTTTTCTGGGGATAGATTTTGACAACACTTATGGCCTATCTTTTATCAATCCGGGGTGTGGATGGTATCAGGGTCTTCTTCTTCTTCTTCTTCTTTTTCCTTGTTTTAATTCAGCATAGAAGGGGTATCAAGTGCGAGTTTCTCTTTCAATGCTCATGCTCTCGGCGGTGACTGAATGAATCTTGATTGGTGAACCTAATCTGACATGTCAACAGCTTCTCAACTCCAATCGAGCACTTTGCAGGATCAGTCGGTCCTGTGAGTTGATGTGAATTATAAACAAATCTCATTCCCGGCAACGCCACGCCACGCATACGATCCAAATCAACAAAGATGCAAAATCCCCAAGGGAGAACCGTGTCGCTATCTATGGCCCTCAAGACCCGTCATGTTGTCCAGCACATGATGAAAACTCCAGACACTATGCTTTTCCAAACATGTCATTACCGCGACTCTCAACACAACCTCCGCACAGTCCTGCTGGCTGCGGAGAAGCAAAACATATATTACTGCAGCTCGGGGACATATGCGTGCGGAGGCGTCCTCATCGCACGGGGCGCCATGACCTCGGGCGGGTAGCCATAGTGCAGCTCCGTCGTATCGGGCGCCTGATCGCGATACTGAAACGCCTCCGTCGCTAGGGAAGCCATGGGCGGCGTTGGTGGTGCTCGCCATGACGCGGGCCGCGGAGGCAGCGGCTTGGTCAGCAGGCTTTCGCTGCTCGCTGCCCGGAGTTGCTGCTCCTCCTGTGCGAGCTGCATGGCCTGCGTGTGTAGAGTACGCTGCGGTGGTTGCGAATGTTGCCTGTAGTGCGTGGTGGTGGCTTGGGCCCGATCCGAATGTGATGCCGCCAGCTGGGCATCCTTCGATCTGGCGGCCTTGGCAGTGAGGGCCTCTATCAGGGTGCCGTGTGCCTTTTTGATCGTCTTCTTGATGAAGCTGGCCATCATGACGTTGCAGGTGATGACGACGTCCTCGCGAATGTACAGGCCCGTCCGCGGCGCGCCCAGGCCGAGCTCCATGGGTTCCGGCGCTTCCCCCGGCTCGGAGCCTCCCACCGTCCACTTCTCGCGCAGGTCGACGCCCATGGGGGCGTGGCAGTGCGTCTGCAGGCCCATGGGCAGGTCGTGGAAGGCGGCCGTGTAGGAGATGGCGCCGGTGGCGAGGTTGCCGGGGAGGTAGGAGATCTTGTCGGTGATGGAGTACCAGGTGCAGACGTGCTCCTCGGGCAGAGCGTGAGGAGGAGGCGAGATGACATGGCGGTCGGTGACCAGAGGGTTGAGGTCGATCATGTCGCGGTGGTTGTGCAGGAAGTCGATGGCGGTCTGGCGCGAGATGCCCGGGGGAAGGGGCGTGATGGAGGTGAAGACTGTTCGCTTCGACATTGTGCCCGTCTGGCTGGCTGTATGATGCTCCTCTGTGTCTGTGTCTGTGTCTCGACGGCTGGTCTGCGGTGGTGGTTCTGCGTGTGTGCCGTATAAACGAGGGAGATGTCGGCAAAGCAGTACAAACGCAAGAAACAAAAACAAGAGCAATGCAAGTGGGTTCGCCGTGTTTCGCGGATCTTGCTGTTTGTCAGGTATATAAAGAAACAGCGTGGCTGATGGCCTGGCCTTGTGGCCTTGTGCTGGTCGTCTGATATCACGAGCCCAACGAAGCGCGGGGCGTCTGGCGGAGGGGGGGCGAGGCTAAGCGGCGTTTCAGAGCTGAAGCAGGAGACACCACACAGAAACGCTAAACGGGCAAAAGAGCGACAGCGCGAGAAGGGAGAAGCGGAAAGGAGGAGAGATTTCGAAGAAGATCAGGAAGAAGGAGGAGGAAGAAGAGGAAGTAGTAGTATGCAAGGAGGTGATGGGTAGGTAGGTAGGGAGCCGAGGCAGGTATAGTAGGTGGTAGGTGGCCCGGTCCCTGGCTGTGTAACAAACACTTGGATGATCAAGCAAGAGTGGCCGTCGTTGGCAGAGGTGCAATAAATAGCAGCGCTAGTTTCCTAGCCGCGATGGCCGTTCAGGCTGCTGCGACAGCCGGAGACGTCCTTTCCGAAATGAACAGACGAGAGACGGCTGTGTAAGGTAGTTGTACTGTAGGTACTGGGCTGAATGACTGAACTAGGTAGCTGGAGCGGCGCTTCTGCTGACAGGCGTCAGCCCGGCTTTTAGTTCCAGTTGGCCGCGGCAAGGGTATAAATAGTAGGCAGAGAGAATCTGTCATTGATGAGGCTCTGACAATATGAGCGAGCTGGTCTGTGGTTCTATTGTGGTTGGGGAAGGAAGACATACATACAGGTGCAGACAGGTAGCCGTTCCAAGGTGGACTCAGCTGCACCCGAGAATCACAGTTCTGATGGATTCGAATCAGGGTCCGATGGACGAGGGTGAGACGCCGCGGCTGTTTCTGTTTCTGGCTGTGACGAAACGAACGAGGCTCGCGGGTTTGATTGGTGGAGAAGCTTTTGGCGGGTTGAAGCAGATTGCAGATCGAGGATGGGATTCTTTTTGGTGTGGGAGTGCACGTGATTAGATACTCACTCACTGACAGGTAAAGTAGCCGTGCAACCCTTTAGAAAGCTCACTCTCTCTCTTCATTTGAATAGCCGGTGGTGGGATCTGATCACTCCCATCAGTCCCCCATGATAGCCTACCAAAGTGAAGTAATACTCGTACGCAATTGTCCTAAAAGTCCGGCCCCCCGGTCCTTTCGTCCCATCTCACGTCAAAGTCAAATCAAGCTAAACTCGGCCCTCGCCCTTAGTCAGCCGTTTATTCTTAGATCTCAACTTCCGGGCCCACAGGGTTTCTGCTCTGTCAATCTCTCTCTCTCTCGTTCTGTGTAACTCGGCTGAGCCTCCAATCCACCTCGATGTCGGAAGACACTGACAAGCTGTTCTTCGAGGGATTCCGTGGTGATTGTAAGGATGGAAGCGGTTGCGGATATTGCGGCAATCCTGCTTGCATTCACACACACACGCTATGCATGTCGAAGAAGAGCATCAACTTGCATCGCGACAGCCGGGCCATTGCCATCCGCCAAGCTGCGTCCCTCAAGGTCGTAGCCGTTATACGAAATTCCTCTTTGGGAATGCTTTTAATCTAGACAAGGTGTTTACTCATACAAGTACAAAGTGCATGCGGGCTGCATCCAACAGAACGTCGTCGTCGTCGGGTGGACTATCCGAGTCCGAGGCACACATGCATCTTTTACTCTTCAACTGCTGTTCCCACGATAGTAATTCCATTTCCCCATCCATTCTTGCACACACACAGGGCCAATGCTCGTACTACATGCATCACGTAGCACCCAAAGTGGCTCTTCTTTTGCAGCGGCACCTCCAACGTACAGCAAGTGTAATGATTTCGCTTGAACCAAAGTCGGCATCCGGAATCATCCCGGCCGTCTCACACCCACCCACTTTGTTCTCTTCACTCAACATCTCCTTTTCTCAGGGCTTCACTTTGAAGCAGACAAATTTCCCATTCTTTGCTTTTTCACAGTCTCAATCCCCTCCCCTTATCCGTTTAGCCCCGACTCAAGTCTCCAGCATCCTCATCTCTCAGAAATCCCAGTCCCCATTTTCATTCCATTTACCCCGACGGCAGCATTCACCAAGCCGCGTCCACAACACTAACTAGCCTCCTCCTCCTCCTCTAAGAACTCCACAAAGCTCGGACTTCTCAATTTCTTCTCTACTAGTATACATCAAATCAACCAAAGAAATACCAGCAGCTCGTATTTCGGCCAATTCCCTTGCTTCATCTTCTACCCCATGATGAATGCTTAATACAACCTTAAAAACGAACAAAATAGACAAGGCCGTTGGAATTAGGAAAAAAACAAACGGGGATTCTGCTTTGGGGCCCTGGTTCTGGCTGCGGGCCATGGATACATCAATTCCTCCGCACCGAGCCCACCACTCGGGACAAGTAGTAGTAGTATGCCAAATTTCAACAAATACGAGCCGGATTCAAATCCGCTGTAACAAAGTATAGCCTCTATCCATGGTGCATTTGTTGGCAGGGAAGAGGCATGTATCTTCTAGATAGGTAGGTAAGTTGGTAAGGTCCCTTAGTAGGGAGTTGAGGTTGCATTCCGTCCTCCAGCTCCCGTCTTGAGCCGCGGCACTGTCAGACGTCCTTCTTCTCCTTTCACCAGTAGTATTAGTACATGCTATTTCGTCTTGGCTGAACGATGCAGAATGACATGTGAAGAAGCAGGCAGGGGGTTTGCTAAAACTTAACCTTGAGCACTCGGCCGAGAGACGCAATTAATCCTCCGCCTCATTACACACCATCTCAATTCTGATGTTCCGAGCCTTTGGACGAGTAAAGGCCGTGATACAGAAGTCCTGCAGTCTCATCCACCAGTCTGAATAATGCAACTCGTGTAATCCCGTGTATTAGTCTTTCTCATCTCATCCCAGGAACGGCCCGCTCCCTCGTAAAACCTTCTTGGCCTCTCTATGCTATGTATGTTATCTTGTGTGCAGCGCATGCTTATGCTTTTCCCCCCCTTGACCACTGACGAATGCTAAAACAAAACAAACAGAAAATGCCAAACCAAATAGAAACTGCACAAACTCATATCTCCTTGCACCACTTGGCCAGCACGCTGCTCAGCTTCGTCGCCACCGGAATCTCCTCGAGCGCAACGTCCACCCGCCACATCTTGGCCTCGAGCCCCCCGTGCTGCTGCCCCTGGCCCCTGCTGCCCGCGCCCGCGCCCGCCGGCACCAGCAGGCCCAGCGTCACCAGCCGCTCCCACGCGACGGCCGCCACGCCGCGGCCCCAGACCCTCGCGTTGCCGCCCTGCGCCAGCATCCCCGCCGTCGCCGACTGCACGCGCTGCCGCCCGGCCAGCGCGCTGTACTCGTCGTACGCCATGGCGAAGTTGACCGTGTCCGTGTCGGCCACAATGTCCAGCCGCGCCGCGGCAATCAGCAGCCCGAGGTCGAGCTCCGACAGCGTCGACAGCAGGTGCAGCCGCGAGTCGGGCGGCGCCAGCGACGTCAGCTCCGGGCCGACGGCTGGGATCTTGAGGTTTGGGTTGCCCGCCGTGAGCCATGACAGTGGTAAGATCCACTCGTTGAAGAAGGCCGACGGCGACTTGGTCGTGTAGTAGTGGTACTGCAGCAGATCCTGGAATGCTCGCTGCTTGTAGAGATCCTGTACGGCAGAAAAAGAAAAGTGGTGAGCAGGTTGATCCAACTTGTGACACAGATGCTTACCTACCTCAATCTTGTGATCCCAATACGCCTGGAACTCGGTGAATCCCTCGACGCTCCGGTCCAACCCTTCTTCTTCCGGCTCAACATCCCCGAGCATGAGCCCCTGCCGGCAGACTTGCCCAAAGGCCGCCAAGTTCTTGGGCAGCGACAAGTAAATGTATCGGTGGCTGAAGCGGCTCTTGACCCTCTTCTCGAGCATCTCCACCACGTCGAGGCGCGTCGTGCACCCCAGGACCGCAATGGGCGCCTTTCGCGACTGCGCAATGTCAAACAAATTGTACAGAAGAGTCTGTCTGGGATGAGTCGCAAACAGATCGAACTCGTCAATGATGAAGATGACGGATTGCGAGGTGACACCCTCGTCCTGTCCTATGATTTCCGAGGGATGGGACAGCAGTGCCAATAACGATGCCATGGTATCCGCATAGTTGGACTGTATGTGGGAGGACAATAAACATCAACATCAGTAAAAGATGCACTGCGCAAAGAAAGAAAAAGAGACTGGCACTCACCCGCGTCAGCAAGTCGTCGTCAACCTGCATCTTCTTGCCAAGCTGCCGCCAGATCTCCTTGAGCGCCAGTTTGTCGTCTGTGTGAATGAACCCATTGAGCCTAACAATGTGAAAGTCCTGACGATGCTCCCGCGACATGTCCTTGACAATGTTGTTGATCATCTATGCGAATCTCGTCAGCATATCTCCTCTAGGCCAACAACTCCTGCGTATACGTAAACATACCGTCGTCTTTCCACACCCCCTCGGCCCAATGAGGAGCATGGAGTTTCCCTCGCCCGCCACAACAGTCTGCTCGATAAGCTGATGCGCCTTCTCGTACTGGTCCTGCTGGCCAAACATGCGAATCGACCTCCGGCCGGTACACCGATCCAGCAGAACCCTCTGCAGGGCGCGCAAGTGGAAGTCCAGGTTGGGAATGTCCGGCACCTCAACGACAGGAGCCGCTACCGCAGCATCAGCGGTCTCTTCGGAACCCTCCTCGGTCGGCTTCTTCGCCAAGCCTAACGCATCTTCCTGCGCGCACGACTTGCACAGCCAATCGCCCTCTGGAATCTCACGCACCCCGTAGCACATTTGGTGGACGGCAAAGTCGCAGTTGTCGCACAGGATGATCTCGTTGGGCGCTTCAGATTCCGGACTAGAGCACACGCCGCACACAATCTCGTCCGAGGCGAGGGCGACGGGCTCGGCCTGCTTGGGCTTCCGTCCGGGCTTCTTTCGGGCGCTGGGCTCCTTGGGCAGGTCCTCGAAGTAGACCTCAGTAGAGACCTTGGCATCGTCGCTGTTGTCGAAGGACACATTCTTCGGTGGCCGAGGCCCTCGTTTCTTCGTCGGCGATAATATGCCCTTGGGCGTCGACGCCGCCGAGCCAGTCGATTCCACCAGCCTCTGAGTGAGGTTCAGGCTCCGGTTGCTCAGAGGGCCGACGGTAGGGTATTCGTTCGTCGAAAGTTCGTCCGCCGTATTGTCCAGCAAGCCGTTCGAAAGCGGCACCAGGTCGAGACGCTTGATCGAGCGCACCGTCGAAGGCGATTCGTGAGGCACATCGACACCTTCCAGCTCGGTCTCCTCAGCAATCACGTCGATGCTCTCTTTGTCGTCCTCCTCCTCGTCCTCCTCGTCCTTGTCTTTCCTCTGCCTGCCTCTGGCGCCGCCCCTCCCACGGCCTCCTCTGCTGCCTCTCCCGCCTCTGCTCCCCCTGCCTCTCCCCCTGCCTCTCCCTCTGCCTGAAGGCGGCGGCGCCGGTTCCGTCGGCGTCACAAAGGTTGCGTCGCGCACGGGAATCACCTTGCGCCTGCCCCCTCTCCCCCTTTTCGGCGGCGCATCCCCAGTGTCCCATTTCGTCCCCAGCAGCGCCGCAAGCTTGATCGCGGGCCGGGCCTTGTTCGCCGACGTCGTGGACAGCGGCTGTTGCTGCTGCGCCTGTGGCTTCGGCACGGAGACGGCGCCATTCTCGACGGCCTCGCCCGCCGTCGTCTCTGCAGGCGCAGCCTTTCTGCCGTAGCCAAAGACGCCCGAGATGGCCGAGGCGAAGCTGCTCAGGGCGCCCGGCGCCGGCACGTCTGCGTTCTCGCCATCAGTGCGGCGCTTCTTGTAGGCGGCCTCGGACTCTGCGGTTTGGTCGTGCTCGGCGAAGGATCGCTTCCGGTTTCCCAACGATTCGTCGAGCTCCATTGTTCGGCCTGTGGCGAGAAGCAGCGCCTGGTAATTGCACAGCTAGAATAGTAATGCACTCATGAGGCAGACGTATGGCGCATCACGTTGGTTAGAGGGCTGCTGAGGTGCCAGAAAGCGAGATGGTTTGTCCTGCCCTTGGAGTTTCGAGGTTGGGGATGAGGTTAACCTAGACCTGCCACTTAACATTTGCACGCGTGTGGCGGCGCGTGTTCCGGGTGGCCAGACGCGTTAATTTAGCGCTGTATCACCGAGTTGGCTGGCCAGGGCCGGGCAGCTCTCTATCAAATACCTTATGAAGCCGGCGTCCTATATGCTTCACCTACTGTTATTATTGTTCTATTACTCTCTGCTATCAGTACTCTATTATTCTACCTTATTCATATGCTTCTTCCTTTGAAAAGTGCTTATATTTTGTGGCAATAATTTGAAGCTGGGTGTGTAACGCCATGGCACCGATCTGGTATGTTCCGCACCTTCACCATATGCCCGATTAGGCAATTGTCTTACAATGATTCATCAACATAGTATAAACGATGCAATATCAAAGGGGGCCACTGGCTGGAAACACGTGAAGATAATCTTGAAAAACTATACAATAATGTATGAATTCAAGGGTGAATAAAAAGCCTATACAAGTGCATACAGGAGGAAGAACTGATCCAATCTTAGGGGAAGCGGACTTGTAAGAAAATATGGGAGCCGAGGCGCAACCCAGGCGTGCCCGTCAAGCCAGGTCCGATGACGAATAGTCCTGCCCTTGTCCTCTACTCACTTCGTCTCGGAGGTGTGACCCGGTTTTCCTCCGTCCGTGATACACACACACGCCTGTGCCGCCACTCTTGTGCCGTTTGTCGGCAGGGCACAACGGGCTTCCAGGCAGATGTTCCAGGACGTCGAACTCAAACTTGTTGGCCGCGTTGCCGGTAGCCCCCGAGAGGTCGCGGCGGCCTGGCCGCTGAGGCATCTGCTCCCACCACTCGCGAGGCTGAGATGTCATGGTCCTCCCATGGACACTGTAGCGCTTTGTCGAGCGTGCGGGCGGTGCAGGCTTGGTATTGGTTTCTCCTTCCGCCAAGGGGGGCGTCATAGACGTGAAAAAGGCACGAGGCCTGCCATCGGCCGTGTCTTCGTCCAAGGGAGGTGTGCTGACATGAACGGCCTCCTACCAGGGTATAAGCTGATGCGGGCTAGAAGACGAAATATGAGAGTACACGCAGAGAGCTACTTACCCCTCCGGGAAATGTGGTATTGGACATGTTATAGCTATCTGACAGCTCTCAAGTTAACTCTCACACATTTCTCGTCGCTCTTGGAAGACTGCTCACGCACTCGTATGTCTCATCCACTGAGTCGCGGGAGACCCCGGAGGTGTCTGACCCTTAAGAACCGCCCGGATGGAGCTGGAAACGCTGTTGACCGAGTCATTGGAAGTCTTCCGATGCCATGGGGCCTTCCCGAAGAGCTTGCGGCCTATTCTCAAAGTATGATGCTCATCTTTGAACCACGTTCCCGTCCTGCTGATGCTCTGGGTAGCGAGGAACTTGCGGGCACCCTCAAGCGTTGACCGCGTACGAGAGTCTTCACCAGGAGCTTGATTCTTACCAGAGCGCTCAGTCCCCAGCCCGGAACCTGTCTGATGGCCAGCGTCTGTCGGGTGGTCCAGGTACGAATCGTCGGCTTGTTGATGCTTGAGCTTGGATTCAATTTCCCTTTTGGCTTTCAGGTACAAGATCCTCGGAGAGACGAGGGGAGTCATCGGTAGAGCGGGTTTCAAGAATGATTGAGCACGGCCCTCAGGCAAAGGTTCTTCAGGGATGCCCATGGGGCGGCCCTTTTGACCGGGCGAAACAACAATGCTTTCACTGGACTGCTGTGACTTGGATGGCGTCATTGCAGCAGCACCAGGCGAGACATGCGGCTCAGTAGGATGTTGAAGTGAGAATACATGATCAGATTCGTACAGATAGGGAGTCCAGACCTGTTGAATGGGTGGTAGATCTTCTTTCGGGGGCTCATATCTCGACTTGGGCCCTGATGCGGAGGCCACACGGGAAGAGTGCGCCCCTTCAGGGGTTCCATCAGTCTCGCTCACAGACTTGCCCGAACGTGAGCGCCACTTCCAGAAGCGCGTGTTGGCACTGGCAATGCTCTTGCGGGAAGAGCCTGCCGTGAGCTGTCTCTCCGCCCAGTATCCTTCTGGGAACCAGACCTACTCGCATCCCTCGCGCGGCGGCCGGGGCGGATCGACGCCGAATTTCGAGGCCGAGATGGACAACGAGCTGACCCTCGGTCTTTGCTGTGGCGAGCCTATTGGAGAGTTGGAGTTTGTGAAGGCGCCGTCTCGCATCGCCCTCTCCTAAAAGGGAGATCGGGGCTGCTCGCGAGCGTCCATAGATGTCGGCGCGAGGTTCGGAAGCAAACACGGCGGGCCAGGTATAGAGCGGACTGAGAGATCAAAGTAACTGCAAGTGCGGTTAGCACCGGCAGCATGCTTGACAGGCGTAGGAAGAGCTGGTGCGGACTTGACATCGCGAGATCTGGTATTGTTGCCTGCTGCTGCGTTTGTGTATCTGTCATACGACATGATAGAGTTATCGTGGAAGAAGCGGAAAGGTAAGCAGGCCGTGTGGAATGATGGAACGGAGGTGATGGCTCGTAGACTGGTCTTGGTAATAGAACATAACAAATTGGGGTGATTAAAAAATGATTGCTGGGCAGAAGAAAAGAAAAGAAGAAGAGGAGAAAACTCTGAGTAATTCCTCTAGAGATCGTTATAATGAGCTTGTCAGAGAGGAACATGGATTATATAGGTAAAAGAGGTATGTCAGGGTCAAGAATCGCAGGCAACCTTCTCGGAGAGGTGCCAACGTGGTCATGAACTCAGATCACGCACGCTTGAGGAAGGCCCAACCAGTGCTGTTGCTATTGGGGCCCGAAACTTCACCGCATCTCGTTTTCAGGGGGTTTTGGCATCACACAAGGATTCGTCTCTTTCTTTCTTTCTTTCTTTCTTTCTTCACTTGGTTGACACGGGCGGGAGGAGGAGAAAAGTTGTTCACTGGTATTGTCGCATTTGACATATTCTCATGGGACTTGGTCCATCCGCCTTCGTAACTTGAGTATCCATTTTTGCTGTTCCCCAATTCCAAACACGCCGAAACGCCAAACAAATTCCCATCAGGCGCTGCCGCTTCTCCGAGGGCGCCATGCACTTATGCATCCATCTCCATCGTGTCGTCGCCATCCAGAGCCACGCCCTGGGGCTCCAAGGGCACTCCGCGGCCTCGTCCGGCCAGCAGTTCTCGTCTGACCTCAGGGCCAATGGCAGAGTGGCCGTGTGTCAGCAGCAGGTCCAGCAGTGCCTCGCGCTGGTCTTCGGTAATGTCGCCCTTGTATCTCTGCGCAAACGCCAGCAGGCTCTGGTGCCAGATAACCGGCAGCTTGGCCCTGTAATCCGACCCGCTCATGACGACGGTCATGTTATCGCCAGCCCTAGCGGCAGCTGGGTCCTCGGCGCGAAATCTCAGGAAGTGGAAGACAAGAGCGTCAATGGCCTGGTAGGGAAGCGCGTACTTCTTCTCCAGCAGCGTCTTGATGAAGATGTTGGTCGCGCCACCTCCTTCGCTGCCCTGAGAAGCCTCCTGAGCGGCAATGTCGCAAAGGCCCTTGATGGCCGCGGCAGAGTGCAGGACGGGGATGGAGACCCGCGCCAAGACTGCTGAGATAATGTGCGCCTCTCGCAGCGTGCAGGTGCCGCTGCCGATCAAAGGGAACAGAAAGCCCTTGAAGAACGCCGCAGGCTTGTAAAGGGCCTTCTTGAGGGAGTTGAACAGGTGGACGTTGAGCTTCTTCGTCTCGTAGATATCCTCGCGGACCTTTTCCAAGATGACCATCTCCAAGAACCGCTGGACCACTCCGGGCTTGGCCGAGACGAATATCCTCGTCGCTTGATAGCAGGCGTTGGGGGTCCAGTTTTCGGGCCTGGTGACGTCGATGATGTCCTCCCAGTGGGGGATCGTGGGCAGGATCTTGAAGGGCTTGGGAAGAGGTCCGGACTTGTACCGGGAGAGGATCTCGCCAATCCTGCTGCTGTTAGTGTCGAGCCCGCAACTCTGTAGCGATGACAGGAAGGCGGCACTACTTACTTGGTGTACACTTCCACGACCTTGGGCGGAAGCTCATAGTCATCGTCGGGCGGACGGACATTGCCTCCGCCAGCCTGCGCCGCCTCGTGCGCGGCAATCTTCTCCAGAATCAGATCGGCCAGGTTGACGGACTCGCCCTGAGCTTGTCCAGGACCCTTAAGATCCCAGCCGTGCTTCAGCAGGTCGTCTTCCTCCTCGTCTCCCATGAATTTCCTGTACGTGTCAAGATCTTCAGGATCAACCTCGACGTCCTCCACCATCTCATCCTCATCGCCCCAGGCCTCGTCGTCGTCGTAACCCTTCTGCTCCCCATCCTCCTCGCCGAATCTTGAGTCGTAGCCGAAGTTGTCCACCGTGGTCTTTGGTGCGGGCTTATCGGCGTTCTCCTCCTCCATCAGCTCACGGCCTATCCGCAGAATGTTCTTGGAGGCCTTGGAGTCGACAAACGTCTCCTCGGATTCGTCGACATCCTTGGACTTTCTCTTGGCCGGCTTGTTCCGCAGGATGCCCGTGGCCAGGACATCGTCTTCGAGGGGGTTGTGACGCCGCCCGGGGCGCGCCGCGGTAGGGGTCGTTGCCTTGGGCATCTTGCGCTCCAGGGCTGTAGGTTGTGCTGGTTGATTTGTTTCTTCGCGACGACCGCACGGGTTGGGTATCAGAGGGCGAATCTGGGTTTGCTGGGTCCGGACGAACTTCGTTGGTGGGCAGAAAATCAAAAATTTGTGTCTTATCGATCTGCCACCCCTCTCGTCGAATTAGGCTTAGCGCGCCGCATCAGAAACCCACAGCTTAGGCTCACCGCCTTTGGGTTGTAAGTGATATGGATGAACGCTCGCCCTTCGAGCACTGAGCAATAAAGACATGTTTACACTTTTGAACGGATGGAAGATGCCAGAGGACTACACTGTTTGGAGCACTCTGAAATCAAGCCAAAAAAAAAGGGCAGGATACTCTCCGTATCAAGTATTCAGTAGTCGTATTGCAATGGATCGTTTGAACTGGTCTCCCAATTCCATCCGAAACTGAAGGGCATTTGATTCGCTGTTCTGTATGAAACAAATTTCATGTCGACTCAGTATGATTTACATGATGATTACCTTGATACTTGCGGTTTTCTCTTATAGAAATCATCGGCATGCCGTTCCTGCATCCTCTTTAAATGCTGCCTAAAACAGCTAGCCAGCAACCGCCTATGACGCCGCCCCAAGCATTTTTTCTCCCCACTACCGTCAAAATCAATAACCTTTGCCCCTCCAAAATATTTCATACGATAAAAGCGGCATTCTTTACTTTACCCGTTCATCATACCCATTCCATATAAGAGCAAATCGTCTCATTCACTCCATTTCACTCCGCATAAGAAGAAAAGCTCATCATGCCGACAGAGTTAGAAGAGGTAACGTCACATACTAGATACTCATACAAAGCTTTCCATAAACACATGAAAGAGAGATGCTGACTCATACACAACACAGCTCGTGGGCTTCATCGCCCATCCAAACCCTCAAATCAGGGCCGTCGCAATAGAGAACCTGGTCCCTTTCTCAGAGTCTGACCCTTCCATCTTCAAGACTGAGCAGCTGAAGCCGGTCAAGCACCTAAAGTTCCTCGTCCGGGACATTCCGGTAGGCGGTCCTTCTCTTTCTCACGCTCTCATCTCACTTGGCTGGACTGAAAGCTCACTCTTCTCTGATGTGTATAGAAAATCGCCGAACATGCCTTGACAATCCTGATCAACCTGACAGGAGACCAAGAAATCCTAGACTTTGTAGCAACAGATGAAAAGTTCCTCGAAATGGTCTTCTCACACATCGTCGTACGTTCTCAACCCCCAATCCCCCCACGGTCATCACAAAAACCATCCCCCATCATGACTAACCGCAACAAAACAAATAAACAGCACCCCGAAGAGCCAAACGCAGACCTCCTCGCAATGCTCCTCGCCAACCTCTCCAAGCACTCACACCTCAAATCCCTCCTCGACAGAACCCAGCAGACCCCCACCCAGCTCTCCTCCTCCGACCGCGTCATCAACCACCTCATGGACCTCTTCGTCAAGGGCCAAGACGGCGCCTACAACAAAAAGGCAGACTTTGACTACCTCGCCTACGTCTTCGCCGACCTCGCCAAGCACGCCGACGTCAGGCAGTACTTCCTCTCCGAGCAAGCCTACGACGGCGTCATCCCCCTGACCAAGCTCAAGGTCTTTACGGAGCACAAGTCCGACGTCCGCAGGAAGGGCGTCGCCAACACCATCAAGAACGCCGCGTTTGAAGTCTCTGCCCATCCGTCGTTCCTGTCAGACGCGGGGATTGATATCCTGCCTTATATCCTCTTGCCCATTACCGGCAATGAAGAGTACGATGACGATGACTCGATGGACATGTTGCCCGATTTGCAGCTCCTCCCTCCTGATAAGAAGCGTGACTCGGACACGGCCAACATTCAGACTCACGTTGAGACGTTGACGTTGTTGACGACGACGCGGGAAGGTCGTGACCTGATGAGAAAGGTGAAAGTATACCCCATCATTCGGGAGACGCACATGAGAGTCAACGATGAGGGAGTCCAGGAGGCCTGCGATAGGCTGGTACAGGTTCTCATGAGAGATGAGGCGCCGGAAGGCGCAGAGGAGGGTACAGAGGAGCGCGTGAAGGAGGTTGAAGCAGATGAGGAAGATGAGCTGGTTGAAGTCTAGAGGATTGCAGCACAGCTGCTACTGCAATCTATTTACTGCATATTTTTGTTGGTTGTCATTTCCTATGTGCGACATAGAATCTGGGTATATATTTGGAAAATGTGTCTACAATACGGCTATACATTATGGCCAATGTTGGCAAAAGCTTCAAGATAAAGTTCATTAAAGAAGGGAGTGGGTATTCAGTCGTATATAACAGTTTCGTAACGTGATCCATCATTATGACAAAAGAAGTAAACCACACAGAACCATCCGTGTTTTCCAACGCCGTTGCTGGGCTGTCTCAGCTCCAGCTTGTATCGTGCTATTCATCATCATGCCCTTCCTGGAACACGCTTTTTCGCGTAGTTGGGCTGCTCGAAGATGGCGTCTTCTTCGCTGTCAGATAGTCACCGCCGGGGTTCTCTTCCGCAGTGGGAGGCGACACCACAAACTCATGACCTTCTGAAGACCCAGCTGATTCATCCGTCGACGGTGATATCACATCAGCTGCCGGCGTGGCTGCTGGCTCAGCGGTAGGCAGCAGAGACTTTTCGTCGTTCTCGCCGCCTTCTGGTAGCGGGGGAGAAGGGAGGCCGCTCGAAATCGCCGTATGTGAGTCGCTGTTTCGGTCTTTGATGGGGGAGACCGTATTCCGCGCAGACGTGCTTTGAAGTGAGCTTCTAGTTGGGCTGGGCAAGCCATCGTCGGTTCTGCCCGGGAACCAGTGAGAGTAACGCTCGCGAATGTCCATCGGCGATAGCCCCGTATCTTGGAGCTCAACTCGAGTCGTATCAGCTGTAATACAATGCTGCGATTAGCCTTATATGTTTACTCAGTGAACAAATGGGGTGGCAGGTACACGTACGAAGCTCTACCAACTGCGTATCGGCCATTTCGTGATGCTCAGGGGGTACCGAGGCCGAATTCGACGGCGTAAAACTGGGGTGTACGTAATCACGCATCTCGGGGCTCCCTGGTGTCACTTCGGTGGTGGTTTCCGTCGGTGCCTTGTTCGCGGCAGGCTGTCCTCGGATCCACGAGAGGATTCTGTGACCGGCTTCATCGCTGGTGTTGGTCGTTGAGCGGTTTCCGATATTCTTTCGTCGCCGCCAAAGGCAGAACAAGACGATAATGCAGGTAAGGGCAATGAGGCCCAGAATAACTCCCAGGACCGGTCCTACCCACGATGGTAGTCCGCCTGATTTTGACGGGGGAGTTGGCGTTGGCTGTGCGGGGGCATGGGCCGACTGAATCGCTGGATAGGGCCAGTAGGTCGTAATCTTCTTCTGATCATACGCCGTATCAAACACTTTGCCAAGGCCCGGGTTTGCCCAGCCAGAGGCAGCAGGTTGCGTAGCTGTTGCACCGCCCGACGCTGTGCCTCCGATGACGGCTTGAACCTTGTCAGGGACGCCGTAATCGCCGTAGACAGTAGGATCGTAAGAGTCCATCCATTCTCCACTGGTGAGGTTGAACATGACTATAGGTCCGTCCTCGAGACATGATATAGTTGTGCCGGGAGCGGGTGTGTAGCCGCCGATGACCATCATTTGGTCGGGGTACGGAGTGAAGCACTTGTGCCCTGCTCGCGCGTGAGATTCCGTGCCATTGTTGATCTGAGTCCACGTAAAGGACGGTAGGGAGAGGACCCAGACATCGTCGTGAAAAGGCTCGGTAACATCAATGCCTTCATAGCCGCCATAGTAGTAGATGTTGAAGCTGGAACTGTCGGACGCAGTGGCCACGACAGCACATCCACGAGCTCGCGTGCTGGGTCCATCTTCGGTTGGTTGCGTATACCACTTGTCGCCAGCAACGTCGTAGACATCGATGTCGCGCATAAACGCAGGGCTTTGAGATCTCTATATTCTTGTCGTTAGGCCTTAGATATCTAAGAGTGGACTTTATCATCGGGCATGGTGCCTACGCTTGCTTTGGCATCTTGTGACCTATGAGTTGAATTGGCGTATTCAGGGAAAACGACACCTCCAAGAGCGACGAGGATGCCTTTGGCGCCCACGGGGACCCAGACGAGCTCAGAGCTTGCACGGCCCTTGATCGAGCTGGGCAAAGACTTGTTGCTCCATGTCTCAGCTCCTTGTGTTGTCATATTCAGTGTGATGAGAGAGTTGCTGATCTTTGATGGCCTCGTGGTGTCGTTGAAATTGGTAAAGATGGATCCGCCAGATGGGGACGTCGACCCTGAAAAGTACCAGGCCAAGTTCTCAGAGGGAGCGTTGGCTGCACCTCCAAAGGTCACATACTGGCTGACGCTCTTTGGTAAATTGTCCAGCCTATGAAATCCTGGCTCAAAGAGAGGCTTTTCGGCTCCGTACTGGAAGGCCTGGTAGACCAAAAGGTCGTCTTTGGCCGGATCTGCATATTGCAGGTTATCGCCTAGAGGCAAACCGCCATAAGAAAAGAATTCGTCGTCGTTGGCAAGGAGGGCGCCATCGACGTAGTTTGGTGTATCGCCATTGGTCTGCCCAAGCCCTCCCGGTGCTTTTGATAGCTTGTCTTGCACCAGGAGACCAGTGACGTTCGTATCAGGAGTGAAGGCATAGCTCAGGTTGTACGTCAGAAGGATCCCTTGGAAGTTTCCTACGGAAAGGAGTCAGTGAAAGGATATCATTGTCATGTTTACACGAATTTGGGGCTATGCATACCATAGTCTACAGCCGGCCCGTTCGACCCGTCCTTCAGTCCTGGTAACCACACGATGTCGCCTCCATCAAGGTATATTTTGTCCCGGATGAGAGCGGCTACAGTTAATCGTCAGCAATGTCAAGAGAATAATGGTAGTTTACTGGCAATACAATACCTCTGGGCTCAGTCCAGGTACATATTGTTGTGTTTATTTGGTCATCCGCCCAGTTGCTGAACTGTGCTTGTGTAGGCTGTAGTAGCAGTGCTAGGAGAGCCGCTCTCATGGTATGTTTGGGGAGCATGATTGCCTAGCTGGCTGTGGAAGCCGGCGATGTGAGAGGCAGAGAGAGGGAGATGCCGGCAAGTAGTTTTAGCTGTGAATCCAAGCGGCCAGCATGATATGACGATGTGTGAATGCAGATGCTCCAGATGAAAGGGATATGATATCGGACTCTAGTAATCCATCAAAGGGAGAGAGGAGCAGAGACAGTCGGTGACAGGACGGTGACCAAACAATGTGAGGTGAGAGGCAAGATGCACCGGATTTTCCGCCTTGTCCAGCTGAAAGCAGCAGCCGAAATGTTAAGCAGACAGCTAACACATAGATAGCACCAGGAGGTCTGCTAAAGAGGCCCATGCAAGACGACCCTTGAGAAACCAGTTATACACGTGCTTGGGCTGATTTAGATACGATGCCCGCCCGATCCTGTACGATTAACGAGGCGATCGTGGGCGAGGTGCAGGCTCCGAAAAGCTAGAACGAGAACAGCCGGCCAGAGTTGAGTTAAGAGGCCCGGAGACGTGGCACGCAAGGCGGGCCACTAGCATGGGACTCGGCTGTGGGTGGGTTGAGGCACCGAAGCATCTCATAGTATCACGTTGGAAATGGGCTGGCAGCAGCGTGTGGGCCGTCAAAGATCGCACATGACAGGAAAGGCGAGAAGCCAGAGACAGACGCAGCCGGTGTCCCGGGGTCTCCAGTGGCAATGCGAGCTGGTGGCTTGGCCTTTTCTTCTTTCTGCCGGTGTCATCTATGTATTGCCCAGGACTGGATTCCAGCAGTGCCGACGGCTCAACAGGCTAAAAAGGCGCATTGCAGCCAACGGATAGTAGTATTGGCAAGTGTCAAGCTGTGGCCTGGAGGAAACCGTACTTGTCCGTGTATCTGCAACAGGGCAGAGCCACATTGTAGGTATTCCTCAGCATGGTGACAGGAACCAGGCGTGAGGCTCATCGGAGACCCTAGGCTGGGACAAGTAAGGCTGGGTTGCCATGTCCTTGTAGCGTAATGGGCAACGACCGAGATGTCTCTATCGTCTGAAGTGGCCAAAGAGTCAGTCAGTCTCGTTGGCGACAAAATGACGGTGTGTAGAAGATGAGCATAGCACTAGCTGAGCATTCTCCAACGTCTAGCTGCTTACCCTGCTGCTTGCAGAGCTAGTCCCAACGGCTAGCAGGCAAATCTGAGGCCTTGAGAGGTGGGATGCCGCACCGGGCGAGCGCATGGTAAGCTGGTTGGGTTGACAACTCATCGGCATTGCACCTCTTTCTGGCCCGTTGGTGTGGTTGCGTCTCTGCAGTGCGGCCGAGGGCGAGAAGCAGACAGACAGACATGCATAAGGCAGGCCCCGCACGGGTGGGCTTTTCGAAGGATCGGCTAGGAGTATGTACTTGTATAGCAGCACCACTCCCAGTTGGTGGCCCAGGATATTACTGCGCGTGGTGTTGCGCAATGTGGTGATGCCCAAGAGCCGGCCAATACAATTTTGCGTAGTGAAGCTTCCTGGATATGACGGCCAGCAGAAAGCAGCAATGTCTCAGCAGAGGAAGATAAGAGTCAAATTGGGTTAGTGATCATGAAGGGCAGAGACTGCGGCTGCGGTGGTTGCTGATGCTGGTTCATGTCTTTTGGTGATGAGTATTTGAAAATAGATCCACGGAGAGCATGGATGAGAAAGACACGGATAAGCTTGGGGAGCTAACGCTGAGCTAGAACAGGGGTTTTGGTTCCTTCGGAGGAGCCTTAGCGGGCTCCTCTAGCGCGCCTTCAGTGGACGGGTATACCTGAGGGTGCTGGGCCAATCTCCGAGCTGCAGAATAGATTGGTGAGGGGTAGGTATTAGTTGTATGCGCGCAAAAGACAGCCCACGTAGCTGCCGCTTTGGGGGTCCATGGTAATAGAGTCTGGGCTGCTCGTAGCTGTACCTGCACGGAGCTCAGGCACTACCGAGCAGCTGTGCCCATCATCACCAATTGTAGGCGAGGCCAAGTAGTGGTACAGGCACGGAGCTTTTCAGCCACAGGAAGCTAACCCGCTGGCGCCTTCCCTGACCAAGGGCATTTTGCTGCCTTGTCCGCGCTAAGCCCTGTTCGGTGCTCCTTCGCCTGGTCCTCGACCTTGAACCTCAACTCAACCTTGCTGACAAGCCACCACTCAAAATAACAACAAGAGAAATCGTTTCTTATTCGAGCGCCCGCAGCTCCTTCAAGGCACGGAAAGGGATCCTAGCGTAACCCGCGTCAGCAAGCAGTCTGCGAGCTCAGTTCGGTGTCGACATGGGAGGAAAGGCAGCTGGACGACCGAGCGGCTTCCACCTGAACAACCACCAGCAACAAAAGCGACGTCCCTCAACTATCTCGGGCATTTCCGCTCTCCTCCCGGCTCGAGTATGCGCTGCGACGCATCAATGCAGTGCAACCACGGGGTGGCACAAAATACAGAACAGCCGGGCAGCTTTTGCCTCTTGTTGGAGTGAATGAAGGCGTTTGCCGGGCGATAAGAGATCGAAGGATCCAGTCACCATATACTGGACCGGTAAAGCTGGAGAGGCCGGAGAACCCAGCTCAGCTCATCGTTCGTCCGCACACCTGGACCCTTGTCTGTGCTGCTGGCCTTTTGACGGCATCGCCCTCTCTTCGCTCTTCTGGCACTACTGCTTCACTCGCCGACGGGTACATACATGCTGGTACTGCATGCTGTACGCGTATGTGTCGTATTCTGGGCATCTTGTCAGTCCTCAGTCTGGAAATTCGTCCGCGTAAGGTCGGCCATTGATTCTCCCGGATACAAGGACCAAAAGGCGCAATCCCTGCCTTGGTGACATCCAGAAATGATATGGTTCCTCTCCATTCGTCGTGCCGAGAATTGGAGGCTCTTGGAGGGCGCCATCGCCACAGCTGCTTGCATCTGCTCCAGCCACTCGCCGAGACTTGACATCCCTGCCATTCGCATGTGTTATCTCGTTGCGGCTAGTTGCAGCAATGGCAACTGAGGAGGAAATTTTCCTGTCAATCCATATCGGCGTGGCAGCGCTGTGGATGGTCGGAGACTCCTCGGGGAGGGGTTCGTGGATTCCTTCAGGCACTCGTCCTCTGGCTGGCCTATTGCCGGCCGTATCCTTGCAGAGCGCAACGAAAATCAGCCCAGATGGGTCTTGCTCCCTGGCACTAGGCCTTACGAGGCTTGCCCTACAGTACAGAAGAGGATTTACCAAATGCTGTGGTTCTTGTTGGCCTTGCCTCGCTCCCACCCTCACTTATCCGATCTCTCGGCCAGACGTGAGCCGTTGGCCGGGGTCAATCCACTTCTGCAAAGTACATACCCGTCTTTGTACGTATGTGTCATCGTCCCCCCGGCGATTCACCAAGATGACCGACGGTTGGCTTTTCCGCGGACAGGACTGATGTATTGTTGGCTTCCTCTGCCCAGGGGTTCGTCCTCAGACTATCCGTTGAGCTCCCCCACGGCCTCAACTCAGCCTCACTACAAGTACTTCCAGGCGGTCAATATCCTGCTCCCAGGTGAAGTGAGGTGAGTCTTACACGCACTTGCCACACAATGGTCTAACTGGACTAGTACCTATGAGTATATCGTCGACCAGGGGGGGGGATTGCAGCAGCTCCATCTGCAAAGTACTACGACTAAACGCCATATCTATTCCGCAATTCCATTAAAGAGCCGCCAGTGAATGGACTGGAGCTCTCCTCCCTTCTCCATTGTCACATCTGGCGTCAAGCTGTTGGGCGATTCAGCCATTCTCTCGCTCTGCCTTTGTCCTGGTCTAGCCTTTTGGCTGCCCTCCATCGTTCTGGGATAATCAAAGGGCGCGCTCGTTTCTGTCCGTTGTGTTGATATAGCCCCAACATCATGATGCGTCTGCTTACGTCCGTCTCAATTGGCGCTTTGGCCGGCGCAGCCCTTTCCGCAGCTCAGCTCGAAGTTCGAAGAGTAGACGTCAAAGAAGTGGTTTGTGATGTGCCTCATATTGTGTTAACAATAGACTAATATCAGAGTTCTTTAGGCTGATAACGGCGAGCTTGTGCCCACGCCGACTCATGCTCTCGAGCTGAGACATGCCGCTGTCACGACAATTGTTGCTGCTCCCACGTTCAAAGTCACTCTCTGCCCAGAGCCAACTGGATCATATGCCGCGTTGACAGCAGAGTCAGATCTCACCTATGGGTGCAAGCCTGGGTTTGTCTGCAATCCCCCAAAGCCAGATGGATGCAACCTCTGGCCGGGGCCTCCCCCCCCAGAATTCCAATGCCAGCCTGAATTCTGTGAACCAGCTCCTCCTTTACACCTCGTCAAGTGGGAAGAGGGCAAGACGGGCTACTACCCGCCGCAGGATGGCTACTTCAATCTGAACCCGGAGCAATTCGGCCTGTCATACGACATTTTCGAGTGCAGTGTTGTCAGGATAGCATCAGAGGGGCACACCTCGACCTTCACGACCGGCAATTGGGCGTCCCAGTCCAGTTTGACCGATGGACCTCTACAGACGAACTGGCCCGGATATAGAAGGCGCGCCATTAGCCCAAACAAGCAGCAAGTTCGCCGAAAGCCGCACAGCTTCGTCAAACGCGCTCCTCTGCCGTCCGCATGCTTTGACAAATGCACCGGCGCATACCAGATTGCCATGGGAGCTGGCAAGATACCGGAGCTTTGCGAAAAAGGTTCCCAATTCATGAGCGCTTTGAACGCCTGCGTTGAATGCGTTGCCCTGACCGAAGGCATCCCGGAGGATGCGGTCCAGGCAGCACTGGATCCTGATTTCGCCCAGTGGCTCTTCTTCTGCAATGGAACAGGAACGACGCCGACACAGTCGACGTCCTCCGCTCCCGAGTCTATTGTCACGACGACGCCCACTGTTGGGACCACCACGCAGGCCTCTGCAAGCCCGACGACTTTCATCGAGACGACAACTTCGAGCCCCGTAGAGTCGACGACCAAGCAGTCTACTACCGCACCTCCCACAACCACGTCTGCTCCTCCTCCAACAACTTCGTCTGCTCCTCCTCCCACAACCACGTCCAGCTCCAGCTCGACTACAAGCTCTCCCATTGGGTCTACCACCAGCTCCAGCCCATCTTCGAGCAGCAGCTCTCCTATAAGTTCGTCTCAAGCGTCGTCGTCAACCCCGCCACCACCGCCAACTTCGAGCTCGACAACCAGTGCCTCGTCTCAGCCGCCTTCGTCTACCGCGGCTTCTTCGGCACCGCCTTCGTCGACACCGCCGTCCTCGACCACCCCTTCGAACTCAGCGTCGCAGCCGCCGTCTGGCACTGAGTCTTCGTCGTCTGCCAGTAGCACCTCTGAGTCAGTCTCAGGGTCTGGCTCTTCTGTACCAGGTACGACACCCACTAGTGTGAACAGTGAAACGGAGTCTGTGTCCGGATCTGTGTCTGCGTCCGGATCTGCGTCTGCATCTGCTTCTGCATCTGCATCCGCATCGGCGTCGGCGTCGGCGTCGTCGACGTCCAATGGCGCAACTGCCACCGCTTCATCAGCCTCCTCAGCTACCACGGAGGAGACTGGAGCCGTACCCCCTCCGACAGGTACTAATTCCCCAACCAGTGCCAGTTCTTCCACTGGCGCTGGCTCCCCATCCGGTACCGATTCCCCCACAGGTGCTGGTTCTTCCACTGGCACCGGTTCCCAAACCGGTACCAACTCCCCGATCGGTGCTGGTTCTTCCACTGGCGCCGGTTTCCCATCCGGTACCGAGTCCCCCTCCGGCACCGGTTCCCCAACGGGAACTCCTGTCGGAACTGGTACCACTGTCGAGACGGGCGCCGGTTCCTCGGCCGGAGCAACTTCTGGAGTAAATGCCGGTGCCCCGGCCGGTACTGGCTCATCGGGAGCAACTGTGACAGGCACTGCTTTCCAAACAGGCACTAATGTCTCATCAACAGGCTTTAGCTCTCCCGGGCAGTTGGAGAGAGCAAGCTCAACCGGTCCTGGATTCCCAGGCGGTGCTGGAGGTGCCGAGCCAACCGGCACAAGCGGCAACGGCGGCCAAGGCGGCAACAATGGCGGCGCTGGACCTACTGGGGCGCCCCCGAATGGCGGCGGCAGCAATGGCGGCCAGAGCGGTCACGGCGGAGCGACGGGAACTGGTCCTATCACTTCGCCGACCAGTGGCTTCCCTCTTTCCAACGATCTCTCTCGACCCAGCGAGAACTTTGGTCTCCTGATGGCCGCCATTCTGGGTCTGTGGGTTCTCTGATCGAGAACCCTCGCCTTTGGACACTTTAATGCTTCTTTTTCTTTTCTTTTTCCCTACAGACCACCATCACCATGTGATTGGGTCAACTTCATGAACTCTCCTTTACGCACGTTTATACCCCCCTTCTTTGGTTTAATCTTATCTATATGTACTTCCATCAGAACGACATGGACAAGAAGGCATGAGGCAAGGGAAATTTCTCATTTGGTCAATGTATAATCCAGGAAATGCCCTACGTAGCGTTATCCCCTGGTATTATTACATTCGTTTACCAAAGGGCTTTTTGGTCAGGTTAGGTTTCTTCACTTATTGGGAAGGATGGTCGGATATGAGATCATGAATGTTTTTTTGAGGGATAATAATTGGAAGATACCCTGGTCACTCCTTTACCATAGCTGTTATGCCCATCAAACATGAGATATATGAGCAAGTGAGAAGGTGAGCGCGAGGGCAGACTCTGGAGGCAAGCGAGGTGAGAGGGTATCAGTAAGAGCTGTTTTTTTACGCTTTTTTTTCTTTGCTCGGGATAACTTGAACGACGTGAAGAAGTCAACGAATAAAGTATCATATATATCCTATCTTATTTCCCCATCTTGTGGCCCCCTCCACTTGGATATCCGAAAGAAAAGTCAACAGCTTGCCCCCTTTAGCATACATATTTTAGTCAAGATGAAACGCAGTACTCCAATTGCCAGAAATCCGTCTAAGTAGTTCATATCCAGTTGGTTCCCATAGTTGAATGGCAGTGATGGTGGTGTTAAACAAGGATAAGGAAGGGGAATACACGGGGAAAAAAGGGGCAAAGCTAGAAAGAGGAAAAGAACAGGGAAAAACTGTCGTCTGGGGGGTTAGATGTGTGTGGGTGTGTGTACAGACGTCCTGTTACTTATTTAGTACCACCCCCTGCCATTCATCGGATTGTCCTGCAGGTACGCATCCATGGCGCTAACGCCGTCCTTCTCCAAATCCTCCATGAGCTCCATCTGCTGCGACTGAGACAGGCTGCCCTGTCGAGCGGGCGAATAGCCAAACTGCATGCCGCCGGCTTCGAGCTGCGCGGTGATGTTGTGAAGACCCAGGCCCGGGCCCGGCGCGCCTCCGAATCCGTTCATGCCGGCCATGGCCTCGTTGAAGTAGCCGCTGCTAGACGTGACAAAGTTGTACGGCGACATGAACTGAGAGGGAGGGGAGAACCAGTCAGATACAGACGTAGGTGCTGGCGGTAGCGGTCGTTGGTGATGGACGGGCTGTGCCATTCGGGCGGTTGCGTATGTGGGCTGTGGCTGCGTAACCTGTGGTGCAATCATGGGCTTCTGAGGCGGTGACATGTTGCTCTGAGCCGAAAGGGGCGAGGGATTGATTGGTGTAACGCTCGCCGTTTGCTTCATCGCCATTGCCGACGGAGACAACGTAGGTCGAGGTGTGGGCATGTGGGACTGGATGAACGATTCGGGTTGTGACTGCAGGTGATGGGGTATGTGGTCCGGCACAGGGACTCCGTGAGCAGAGGGATCATCTTGGCCAGCCTCTCCCATGTGGGTGACATCAGGGGGAAAGTAGGAGAATCGTCGGTTGCCATTGTCCGTGGCCGGGTTGCAAAAGATGGAGTTTGAACGGAACGTGGGCTGGGGAGGAGGGTAGTTGGGATCGAAGGCGTAGTTATTCATAGACTCGGGGGACGAATCGAAAACGTATCCAAAAGTTGGAGGGTTGAGGTAGGTGAGAGGCCGGGGCGTGGTGGCGTTTGACTGAGCGTAGCTATCTGGCGAGGACTGAGAATCGGCTGTCGCAGGCGGGCTGCTGAAGGAGAATGGTTCCTTTTCGAGTTTCACTTGTACATCGTAGCTCTGCATGCAAGCTTTGGCAAAGATGGTGTACAGCTGTGATGTGGCCGCAGTCCCGGGCCAACGCTCTGCACATCGGTCCAGAGATTCTAACGCTGTATTCACCAGCTCCTCGACTTCTTCCCGTGGGTGGTTGCGCCGTACTTCGGGATATGATATTGTCCACAGAAGTGTGCTCAGAGCCAAGTTCAATGTCAGGAGGAACACCCAAGATAGATCCACAGTGTCGCTCCCTATTTGCTTCGATGACAGATCAATCGTGGCGGCCGAGGACTCGTAGCAGATTTGAGCTGCACGAGCCGACGGTTGTGGGATTTGAGGGGAAGGCCTGTAAAGCAGAGCCCTCATTTGATGATAGAAACCGGTGAGCCTGTTGTACAAAGTCAGAGTCTAGCTCGCTCACGTAGAATGCGTCCATAATGGTCGGCTTACCAAGACTTGGCCCATACGGGCTCTTCTGGTGCCGAATCCAACCAGTCCCTCAAAGTCTTTTCCATATTCTGAAACCAAGGATGGTCGTCGGTCCTGGGCTCCGGCCTCTTCCGTTCGTAGAGAGTCCTCTTGATCTCCGCCTGAGGGTTCGTCATCTTGTAAAAGTGAATGGTTGCAACCTTTCGAGGGTTGGGAGGGCCAGGTACAATGCCCTGGGGCGTGATATTTGCATCGTCGACCACGGAAAAGAACTCTACGTTCAAACGGTCGCTGTTGACGGCAAATGCACTGGGCCGGCCCATGTAGTAGGAAAGCCCAAACTCCATAGTCGTGATGATCCACACAAGTCTTCGGCGCATGTCGATGATCTGAGGATCCAAGTTGTAGCCCGATGTGATGGTCTTCTCATCCGTCAGTCCCTCTTGCTGACATATTCTGGTGGCGAGTCCAATGACATAGTACACCGGCGTTCGCGTCGGCGTGAGCAGCGAGTATTGGCCGATGAGAATGAGGCACTGGAGCGTCTTGAGGTCTTTGGGACGGATGACTTCTTCAACGTATTTCATTGCCGCCATGTAGTAACCGTCGGCCAATCCGGCATACTGCGTGTCCAGTTTCTGCAAGCTGACGGCGATGACCATGCGAATAACGAAGTTTCTGTAGACATCGTTATCGCCGTTGTAGACAGCGTCAACGTCTGCCTGGAAGACCTTTTCGTGAAGCACAGGCCAGTGAACTTGAGCTGGAAGACATGAGTACTGTGCATAAGCCTGCGCTGGAGAAAGGGGGGACGCTTCCTGTATACCTTTCTTGAAGTAAATTTCCACCAGCCTATCGGCCACCGGCCGCGTAGGAAGACCCTCGGCCGGGCATTCGCTGACCATCGGATAACTCTTCTTTCTATTGCTCCCCGATGCTGTCATTTGGATAGACTGCATGCGAGCCTGGCTCCTGGCACGAACCTCGGGGATGAGGTCGGAAATCTTGTTGGTATCGGTGAAGCGCTTAGCCTCGGCCATGAGAAGCCGTGTCATGGCGATGCCGCTCGTCGGTCCTAAATATCGCGGCGTTTCGTCATTGCCGTTGAGACGAATCATGCCTCCCGGACGGACCAGTTCCTCGCTTGTTGGAGGATGGTCGCCATCCTCATCAGTGTACTGGCTCAGCTCAGCCTCGAGGGCTCGAACTTTGTCCTGAAGTGTGATGACATAGCGGCGGTTGATCTTGCGGCCCTTGGCGGCGTCGAGATATTCGCATACGGAACCCGATCTCTCGCAGGGGAGGCAGCGAGGCAGCGTAGGGTCGCATCTCGTTTTGCGCTGCCAGATTATACCATTAGCCTTCACTCCGCAGTTGACGCTGAAACGTATATCTCACGGCACGCGGAGCACAGATAGAGCAAGCCGAGCTTCGCGTGGAGGGCGGGGTAGCCGTTGTATCGTACCTGGCGACAACGACAGCATGCAGTCAGCGTGTGGGCAACACGGTGGCTCGAGGTATCGCCGTCGAAGTAGTCATCAGGGCTCTGAACCAGGTTCCGCGGCTGAGCGTAGACGTGGTTCGGACGGGGAGCAACGGTGCCCAGACCCTGCCGGAAAATGTGAGCGGCATCCATGGAGCGCGATAGCCCCGGCACCGAGCAGCCAGCCTCCTCGCAGCCTGATGAGCAGTGAATCGGCAGCTACGACAGCCCCTGGCAACTGCCAGTGCCCCGAGAGCTCGGCACTTGAATGTCTGGTCGTTGCGACGGCTGAGCTCGCTGTAGACGGCGTCGGAACGGAGCCAGCCCGAGACTCTGTTGGCAAAGGGACGGACCGCCGACGAGGACGAGGAACGAATACACGATATCAACCAATTGGCAGCGGCGCGGACTTCATGGCCGAGAGGACGGAAGGGCGACGATCGAGGCGGCTCCTAAGACCAAGGCAGTATGAGCATGGCTGAATAAGAACAAGACCACGGGTAAGAACTAGAGCCAGTTCCGCCGCCACGTTCCTTCTTCGATCGCGGGGCAGCGGAAGCAGAGCAGGGCCAGGGTTGTGCTGTCAAGCAGGTACATACCTGGTAGAGGACCCTCAGGCAGCAATGAAAGTCCCTATTCGACGGCTGTCTCAGCGGTTCTGAGGCTGTCGCAGGAACACGATGCGAAGATCTGAAACACTGACGGTCAAGAGCTGGAGACGTGAAGCTTGCGACAGAAGGAGCGAAGCGAGTTTGGCGGGCGTGCACTAGTACCGTTGCAGCAAGGACGGAGTACGGAATACGGAGTAGTTGTACGGATAGACGTTTAGGCTTTCTTGGGTGATGGACCGGTTGACTAAGCAGAGGTCTCAAACCCGAGACGCGAAGAAAGGGATTTGGCTGGATTTCAATGTGGTGGACTTGCGGCGCTCCTTCCGTTTGACCAGTCAGGTAAGGCCAGGCCCGGCTCGGGAAGTACTCGAACCTACAAGCGTCTCGTACCATGTGCTGTGGGTTGGGCGTGTTGCTGTACCTCCCTAGTACCTCTGCACGTGAGCCAAGCCAGTCCCTGCTGTGCCGGCGGCTGAGCTCCTTCCCACGCGACGGATAACACTGAGTTGGGATGAGGAAAGTGGGGTTTAGTCTGTTCTTGAAAGTACATGTACGAGGTACCTTTCGGACCCTGAACTGCCAGCTCTTTTCTCAGCAAGCCCCGCATGTGGCATGGAACAACCGAGACTTCATCTACAGCAGCTTGAATGTACCGGCTCATGATTTTGCCTACATCACCGGCCGGATACTTCAGTTGATGTACGAGTATGTGTTCGTACTCACGGAGTTCCAGTTGTCGTTTAAGGTACCTATCGAGTTCCTTCCTTCAAGCAAGCGCTAGCGCGAGTTCAGCCAGGAAAACCGGGTCCCGAGCTATGCTGTAGCAGAGAGTGGGGGCTTACGCACCAAGGGTCCTGATTGGCCCACCGCTCTCGGTCCAGCGAAGCCGCAAGTCGGTCTGCGTACAGCGCTAACTGCTCAGACGCTACCAAGGCTGATGCCGTGTCCCTGGTGTATATCAATGCAGATAGCAAGAGACTTTTGCTGTTTCTCCGTCTCCTGTCTTTCCCAATCGCAGCAGAAGCTCAACTCAGCAATCCTCCTGCAGTCGGTACGACCTTTCTCTGCACGCCAATGCGGATATGTAGGTAGTAGTACTACTCCATGTTAAGGTATTTCCTGCTAGGATGTTTCAGGTGTCACAGGCTGCTGGATGTAAGGCATGTATGTAAGGTATGAGCATGCAGCACTTGGTGCTTTGCAGGCACCAGCCCGCGTGTCTTTCTTGCGGTGTGATAGTGATTGCAGGCACAGACAGTCAATCACACGCAGAGAAGGTTGGGGGCCTCGGGGCAGCCGGTTCGCGAATGACGTCTGGCAGTAGCCCGGTTCAGTCGTCGGAGCTTTGGGGAAACGACCAGTAACTTTATAACATGAAGTAAGTGCCTGTAATTGTCCCATACGAAGTAGTACCTGATCTGGATGGGCAGCCTCTGGGCTGCTATCAACAACAATTACCACAATAGGTGTGTGGCCTGGGGCCTGTGAAGTGCCTTGTTTGCTTGCTATATCGAGATGACAAGCTCCTACAGGTACTGGAACGGCGAACGGCTACCTCCTCGACAGTCATGTCAAAACAAGAGACAGACGTTGCAGTCTTGACGACATCAGACATACTATGGAGCGGTAGCATCATGTGTCGTGTCAGCTGTGTAAATTGCATGCAGTGATCGGAAACGATGCTGTAACACTGGTGCTAAGTCTGTATGCAGTCATGCAGAAGTCTCAAACGAGGCTGTCGACAATGCTGGCAGAAAAGAACATGGAAGAAGAATGGAATGCCGAATGCAGCTCGATTGGAGAACGATGGACACTCCTTCGATACTACAGTAGGTGCTCCAGACCAAGCATCGAACCAGCGGGACCAAGGCGGATGGATTCCTGCTTATTATTTCCAGCCGTTCTGCCCAAGCTTGCTAGTACTGATTGTACTCGTGTCAGACCATGGGAATTCACATACTGGATCCATAATGTCGACAAGTATAAACCCTACTCCAACGATATATGAGGCATCCAGTACTCTTACAAGTCGTGAAAGGGCTTGTTCGGTAAGGGAGCAGGTCCTCGTGTCAAACTGCTGCTGCTGCGGGATTCAGAGCGGGAGCAGTGCTTTGAAATCCGGAGTACCTGCAAGGTATTTACTGTGATCTGCCACCTGAGGAGTATGTACAGTAAGGTGCATGTAATCAGCAGCCAGGATTTATCAGCACCTTCTCCGTCGTCTGAAGTGCTCCGGACGTACATAAGGTACTGACCTCTAGCATAGTAGACACCTTGGTATAGGTACTCTTCCATCAAGGTCCCAAGACAGGGCTGTCGAGTAACATCAATCCATCAGCATCAGTCAGTCCGAGGCGCCAATCCACTGGGGGCGTCCACTGGCCCGCTACCCACAGCAGCTGCTGTCCGGCGCTGAGAGCCCGATAGTGGCGCCTCCAGCCCACTAAGCGACGCTAGGCCGCCATCCATCCCACCGCGCTCAGTCCACCAGACATGCAACACTGAACCTGAATGCCCGCCTCCATCGATTCAGACTCGCGGAACCCCTTCAGCCTTCTCTCGCCCTCAGCTCGCCTCTCTTGTGCCACGCGCCGTCGTGCGAGCAGTGACCGAACCCCCGACATCCCGCATCTCCATCCGCCGTCTCCTCCCGCTGCGCAGCGTCTTGTCCCTGGGCTGCCAGACTCGCCCTCGCAATGCCCCGCAGTAGCTTCTCACACACTCCCCTCCTGAGAGTGTCGAGGCCGGTCTCAGCCTGCTCAAGATGTGAGTGACGATCCCGCCATGGTTGATGCACGGAGTCCCCGGCAGAGCTGACGCTTCACTGTGATGTCCAGGCCGAGCCGCCAAAGTCAAGGTGAGTGGCCATGGCCATGCGACGGCGCTTTTCCCAGCCGCTGTCCTCCAGCTCCAGTCGGCGCATAGACGGCGCACCTTAAGCAAGCAAGACCTCTAACGATTTCCGAACCAGTGCGATGGCAAGCTGCCTGCCTGTACGGCCTGTGAAAAGGCTGGCCGCGAGAATGCCTGCTCTGCCGCAAACGACCAGTTTGCGCGAGGCAAGGAGCGGAGGTAGGCTTCGTCACTACCTAGCTGTACCGTGTCCCATCCGCTGACCCAAACCCCAGCTATGTCGCCGCCCTTGAGCTTCGCATCGAGAAGCTGGAAAGACGCATCGCATACGCCAAGTCTCGAAAGGCTTCCGTGGCCAACCATGAGCCCGACTCGCTGTCCACGGCCCACGTTGACAGGCGGGATTCCCTCGCCTCGATCCGGGCCGCCATCCACCGGAAAGCCGCCAGGACCCGTGAGAACTCAGACGTCAACTCTTTGATATCTGATTTCGGCTTCTTGTACGGAGAGATGCTTCCCCCTCTTGGATCCGCCTGATATCTGACCAACGCTACTCGATAGATCAGTCAATGCCACGACTCGAGACTTTGAGCCGTCCTTCATCAACATGACCTTTGCGCGCCTGGTCCTGGCCGCGGCGTCCAAGGATCAAATCCCAGCCATGCCCGAGTCTCCATTGCCACACAAGTCGTACGCCACGGAAATCTTTCACCACTTTATGAAGAACATGTATCCGCTCTTTCCGTGCTTTTCAGAAACGGCGGCGCTAAACGTGCTCAACGACATATATTCTCCGCAGAGCGAGCGAGTCATCAGCGCATCCGACCATTGGCTCCTTTACATGATACTCGCCATCGGCTCGACCATGCAGAGCCAAAACGTCAACGATGACTACTACAACCTTGGCGTCAGCTTCGTTTCAAGGGCGCTGGATTATGCCGACATCGCCTTGGCTCCTGGATACGCGACCCAGATTCAGTCGCTGCTCCTCCTCACCCAGTATGCCATACTGGACCCCAACCACTTCGACAGCTGGCTCCTCATAGGCTTCACGGCGCGTGCAGTCATTGACCTTGGATTCCATCAAGATCCGCCAATGTCTTCAGTCGTAGATCGTGCTGCCTTGGATATGCGCAGGAAGATTTTTTACTGCACATATGCGCTTGACCGGTGGGTTGTTTTATCGATCGTCCACCCCTTTCTTTGATTCTAACTCCATAAACCAGATCCATCAGCATGGTACACGCTCGGACCTTTTCATTTACCGACGATGCCATCCATGTTGCGTTCCCGAATCCAGCCGATCTTGACCGCAGAGGCAAAGAAGCCGAATCTCTTCCCATCTCGGGTCCGCAGTCTGTCGACCCTGGTCTGCTACTGTTCCAGCTCAGGCGAGCGCAGTCTTACTGGTATCAAGAGCTATACCAGTCCTATGCGACTCCCCTGCAAGATCCGTCGTCGTTTGTGTGGCAGATGTGTCTCGATATGCGAGAATGGGGCGAGTCCCTACCCAACTCCCTGGCCCCCGGGATACGGCAAATGTTTGAGCAAGAGCTGAGATACAGTTACGTATACTGCATTGCGCCGTCCGCGAGAGCTCCCGAAATCACCAACTACCACCGTACCCTCATCTTTGAGTACTCTCTGGCGTACCTCCTCACGATGCAGGAGATTGCCCAATCCGGGCTCAACGGCGCCTACTATACATACCACGACGCCCTCAAAGTGTACTTCATGGCCAACCAATTCCTCGCTGTGTTAAGGGACTCGGAAGACATGCTACTGTCCGGTGCGCACATACCGAAACCAATGTCACGTCCCGGTGCTCCACAAGCGCCTCCGATCCCACCGCCTCAATATCGAAACGGAAGACCTGGCGAGGACAACATCAGCCGAAGCATCCGCTGTCTCGAGAGCGTGCCCCAGACCCTGGACGTGTACGGCCGCCGGTGGGAGGACTCTATCATGCTCAAGCAGAGCTTCGAGCAGCTCTCGGCAGACACCATGAAGCGCCTGAAGGAGCGCAGGAAGATGCAGAACATGAAGGTCGAGCAGCCCGCCTACCACCCCGGCAGCTCTCCCGGTGCCCCCTCGCCCCGGGTCCCGGCCACATCGCGGAGCCCGCAGCAGCCGCGTGAGATTCGCTGGGTCGGGGTCGACGTCTCGCAGATGATGCAGGGCCGCGGCCACCATCAGCAATGAAAAAGGGAGGCGGTGAGGACGCGTGGGCACTTTCTCCTCCTTTCTTGTTTATACGTTTTATGGCGCTTGCTGGGGGTGAGCTGATAACATTCTTGCTTTGCTGTACGGGCGATATTGTGGATGTACGGACGTGAACAGGGCCCATTGGGACTATCAATCTATACCTCTGTATCATTATACCCAAGCTGATTTTCCATTTGAAATACATGTACATCACAGGCTTGTCTTGGAGCAAGCCTGACTCGCATCAAGCATAGCCGTCTGAATCGATCCTTCCATCCTGCCTCTAGTCCTTACGTCCGTTATACAAAAGGACTGTGAATTTATTGACTTTCAAGGAAGTATGATATCACTGGTATAGAGTTTATTATCATCTGTGAAGGAAGTGTGAGTTTATTGGTATCTTAAAGGAGTATGATTTCATTACTTTTCGGAATAGAGGACATTAAGGCAATCAATTCCTGGTCTGTACCTAAGGATGCGCCCCTCTCCCCAAAGACAACAACGTACATGGTAGATAAAACGAAAGCATCCCTGATATCGGAAACACCCTTTCCATATTCTCCTTTTTCCATCGCCTCCCCACCATGTGTCCATGACGCCCAGAGACTCTTTTCAAAGAATCAAATCAAAACATCTAGCAGATTACCGAATCTCAAGAGAGAACGAGAAAGGAGGCAAAAAAGGGAGACAAGGACACGATTGAAATCAATAGGTTCCTTGAAAAAAAAAGGTCTTGAGCTCCTAAGCCACCTTGAACTCCCCAAAAAAAAGTCTTCCCTCGCCGTTTCGTGTCACTCAGATCAAGCTTGTCCTCGGAGAGTCGCGTCCCAGGCATTCCTCGCAAGCAGTTTCACCCTCCTTTCGTTGCCTTGCGTCGCATCAAACCGGCGTCTCGAAGTCGGAGACGCTTCAACCAGCGGGCTTCCGGGTGACGCGGGTCGAGGTTCCAATGGCTCGTTCCACCAGTGCTGCCGACGGGGGCGTCGAGGAGTAACAGCGCGAGGGTCAGTGACGCGAGGTTCCGTTTGTTGTCGTGGGTTCGGAGGCGGAGGCAACCCCAGACGTTCTTCTCTCCTCTGTCTCCTTGCTTCTCCTTTCCCTTCATCGTAACGGGGCTCATTAGGGGGTTCCTAGACCGCTCGAATGTCCTGCAGGTGCAGATTTTTGGTCTGGCGAGGCAGCCTACGGTCTCTTTCGTAAAAGTAACCGCAGTTGGCGCACAAAGACTAAAAGAACGAGGTCAGCTGGGTCATCCACCACAAAGATTCATAACATTGAAAAAAGAACTCACCTTGGGGCCGGCAGGACCGTCTCGGACTGCCCAGACGCTCGTCCCCCACGTACGGCAGTGCGAGCATCGCCACGTCATTCTCTCCATGTCCGTCAGGGCGCCTACTCCTCCCCCGTATCCGCCAACGTCTGGCGTCAGTCGCCCCAGGGGAGTCCCGCCACGGGCGAGGGGACTTAGACTGCGGAAGCGTCGCTTCTTCTTGGAGCGTTCGCCTCTGCCCATTCGTTCTTCCTCGGCTTCGACAGCCGTGCCCGCACCAAACGGAGTGCCTCCCATCATGCCGGTAGTCGAGCTGAATCGCGCCGTCTCACGCCGCAGCCGACGAATCTGCCGCTCGCGGTCGCCCTCTCGCTTCTCCATCTCTTCCTTGCTAAGGAACTCGACCTTGGGCTCCCACTCATCCGCCAGGTGGTCGGGGTCGTACCTCCAGCCAGCCTCTTGGCCATGTGCGGCGTCGTTTGGCAGCTCCTGCTGTGCTCCGCCCCAGCCTCCCACAAGGCCTCCAGCCTCGCAGGCTTCCTTCTTTAGGCGCAGGACCGCCTCGTAGATGGCATGTGTCATTGCCGGAACCCACTCGCCGGCCAATCCTAAATCGGCACAGGTCGCCTTTGCAAAGGCCTCGGCAGTGCCCGGTGGGTGGAGAAGCGACCACTCAAACTTGTCTGTATACAGCATGGATGAGAGGTTCAGACTCAGGTTGATGATGCATCGATAGGTGTCGTCGGGGTTGTAGTCGTCGGAATCAGGCAGGATAGGAGTGGCTTCGGCTGTGACATCGGGTGCCTGCGATGCCTGCGGCTGTGGTGTCAGCGTTGCCTGGCCGCCCGTCTGTATGGGGGTCTCAGGCCGAGACACGCCCCTCGCAAACGAGGCCGGCGAGTCATCGCGGGACTTGAATATGCTGGGCCTCGGGGTTCCGGCTCCTGTTCCGGTGCCCGCAGCCGCGGCTGCCGCGCCTCCCTGGCTCGGCGGCGGTGGTGGTGCCGCAACGGACGGCTCAGAATGGAAGAGCGGGTGCAGGGCAACGCCGGCATACTCTTCCAGCTGCGTCCGAATCTGCTTGCTAATCTCTGCGATGACGGCCGGCCGGTTGGGCAGGTCCAGGTCCTGGGCCAGCGTCTGCGCAAACTGGTCCGTGGTGATGAGCGTCTCGTGCAGGTTCCAGCAGAAGATGTCGCGCAGCTTGTAGGGCACCGTCATCTCCTGCGGCCGGTACTGGGGCAGGGAGATGTCGACGGAGTTGGGGTTCGGGGCCGGGAAGGGCGCGGGCGGGATGAAGGACGGGATGTCCAGGTCGATGCGTATGGGTATCAGCGTCAGCGGCAGATGTGCTTGGGCGGCGTTCTGCTGGTCGCTCCTAACGGACCGGCTCTTGCCCATCCAATCCCGCCAGATGCCCTGGACCTCGACGGGCTCCTTGATGTCCTTGCCCACCTTGTCGGCCAGGTCCTGCCT